AACTCTCTGAGGAACAGATTCAGATGTGTGTAATGCTTCGATTCCCCTGTAAGCAGTACTGTACATAGGTCACTAGACCATAGATGGTGTGTCACTTGCTTGCAAATTCCTCTAACAAATGCTTCCTTATCTGCCCTCAGAGCCCTTGCAGCCATCTTTCTCAGTTCCTGTTTGCCATCAAGCCGTGCACTGTGACTCCTCCCGATAAAATCCAGGGTGCCCCGCAAGATGAAACACCTCCTTTTGGGCGCACTAGCAACACCAACGCAACCTTCAGCAACCTTCAGAGTCTTGCTACTCCATGAGTATGTCAGCCATCAAAGTGACCAGACCAAAAGTAGGTGGACCCACCTACAGAGATCTGGCCTCTCTCCAGTCTGTGCCACTCAGTGCCGCTACTGAAATGCAGAGTTTACAAAACTCCTCCGACAGCAGATGCACCTACCCGGATGGGCCACCTCAGATTGTGACCCAAGTGCTGCTGTGCAGTGGGTGAAACCTCAGCACCACACCAGTTCTAATCCCCAACAGGCCTGACCCTATTAGCTCCCTGGTGGTTTCGACATTTCTAGGGATGAGGCTCCCAAACAGGGGCAGAGCCAAAGGGGTGGCAGGGGTGGCAATTGCCACCCCCAACAGAGCCCTTGCCACCCCCAGTGCCACCCCGCTGGAAATGGTAAACATTAAAATATACCAATGAGATTAGGCAAAGATTTGAGCGGAAAACTGTAATTTCCGAGAGCCCCTGAATGCATCCCAACGCAGCAGTACCCTGTGCGCGCTGCTTACTGACATGTCATTGGCTAAAAGCTCTGGCAGCGGCACGCTCAATCAAGCCTCCTACTCTGTTCAATGCTTGCATAGACTGGGTGTTGGGCAATACCCGCGGTATTGATAACAGCAGGATTTATGCAGGTATTTACTGTATAACATATTACACTGTATTACCTTCCTAATGAGAGGTGGGCATACACTTGTACATAAAAAAATAGCAGCATGAAAGCGTTGCGCACTGTCTGCTCCATGTCTCGTTTAAATTAGCCACGAGCCCTGCTCGCGCTGATATAGATCGCCTTTTAGACAGCGTCTTTGTACGTGTGTATGTTTTAGTGCACATGCTGAATTATAGTGTTGTTTTATTATTTTAGCAAAGCTAGCCCTTGCTTGACGTCTGTGTGGTAAGTGTATATGTGGAGAACCAGTCATTAGTTTTCTACTGCATGTAAGCAGGCTATGCATGTCATATTAAACCTTTGAATCAATTTCACTATACTGTAATGTGAGGATTTAATTAGCTGCCTAGATTCATTAATTTAATTAATTAGATTAGGCTTGGTCTTTATGATTGGTGTTTATGATTTTGTAAATGTTTGTTGTGTTTATTCAACAAACATTTACAAACTCATTGTTTATTATGAGTGTGTATGAGAAAAATATTTTTTTCCTTCATTTATCATATTTATATGGACCCCTCTGAGAAACCCTTGCTCACCCTTTGGCCCCCCCTTAAATAAAAGTCTAGCTCCAGCACTGCTCCCAAATGCTTCCCCCCATCCCCTTCATGGTGCATGCAGCCTACCTGTGGGCGGCTGCAGCAGAGCTACTCCCACGGAGAGCAGAAGCATGTCCTGTCTGCTTGGTTGGAGCTGTGTGAAGTGCCAATCCTGCCACCACCCCCCAGTTTTTTTCCTGCAAGTTGGAGGACCGCTTGTACAGTTTAACATCATACCCAGGACTGCACTTGATCTTAGCCAATTAATTAACTCGATGAAAAAACAAAATGCATTGTCTGATTACAACAATGCATACTATCGATGGTCCAGTCTCCACGCTGACACCCACTGAGTGGCAAAAACACTGAGTGGCAGTGTTAGTTAGTGTTCAGCTTCAGTGCCACAAAAAACAGCTAAAATAGGAAAGAGCTATCGTGCGATCGACTGTGCAAATCAATTTAACAAGAAACAGGGGCTACCTTTTTTTAGACTGCTGAAAATTAAATAAGTCAAGGGTGGCCAATCTTATCCGCAAAGGGCCATGTGTATTCTGGGGTGGAAGGGGTCTTTAATGACGGAGCATAGAGGAAGGCATCTGACCTCGGTCGTGATGTTATTCTAATGTTCTAGCCTCATCTGTCATTACTCTACAGCATGTGACAGAATGTGAGTAGAAAGAAGTTTCTGACAGCCTGCACAACATAATACTGCAGGCCCAATGTTTACGGATCGTGCAGATACTATTTTTGACATTTGTAAGATAAAAATGTCTTGTTGTTACGACTGACATATAAAGAGTGCGAGAGGGTTACAGCAAATCCTAGAGTTCAAAAGCACAGGGAAACATTATACAGGGATTCTGAACTTTTCGAGGAGTACAGCTGAAAAGAGGGAAAGGTAGAGAGAGAATCCTTGTTAGTACTGGTTTTAGGTCAAATCATTTTTTTCCAAGTGCACTTGCATTGTACTAATCACAGTATTAACAAAATGCCACCTGTGACATGAATACTGTAATATTACTTTTTTTCTTGCTGTGACAGTGCTAAAGCAAGCTTACTGAAGTATACATTATAAACATAATAAAATGTTAGAATCACTTTGGAGACCTAACTTACTGATACCTTTCATTTTAGGAGATATCAAAATGTGATGTGTCACGACGCAAAACTTTAAGGCAGGCATAAGCAGAACAAAAAGAAATTTTATTAAATTGAAAATAAACAGGGGCTGGAAAACCAACAGGACCGCGAGGGGTTAAAAACAGGAAGCCTGGTACAGAGAAGGGAACAGGCAACAGCAGTGACTGAACTAGGGCCGACGAGACAAACAGGTACTTAAATACAAAGACTAACAAGGGGCAACAAGCAACAGGTGTGGCTCCTCAGGTTCACATCAGGGAGCAGACAGGAGGGTCAGGCGGACATGATAGGCAGGATGTTACATGATAGAACTCTCAACCAAACATTACTAAGAAAACAACAAACAGATGGAGAATTCTGCCAGGTATTAACAGGAAAAATAAAGCATTACACTGTAAAATATCTGTTTAAACAAATCCAGGGCCTTAAGTCAAACCAAGACCAAAGTGAGAAATACAATTGCAAATTGAGCAAGGAAAGAAATGATTTTCACTGTGGAGAATCTCACAGACAAGGAACCATCAGTACATTGGTACTGTGTCCTTTGCCTCAATATCTGAAAGCATCAGGTGTAAAGTGCTGCTTCTTGAGTAAATCAGAAGCCATTAATCTGCTGCTTGTCTTGTCTGGTGGTCCTACCTCTCATTATAGGGACAGGACTGCCTTCTACCTCGCCTCAACGGTACATTTTCTCAAAGGCCATGTGACATAGAGGTTCACAGAGACCTCACAAGGAAACAGACCCTCCGATGGTGGTGGAAGAGCATTAAAGCATCTGACAGATCACTTTGTATCATGTGGTAGAGACTTAACTGATACAGGGTATCAAATGTCTCTCACAACATACTTCTGCAACGTAATTTGAGATTACATAAGCAAAGATCCTTGCAAGCAAAGCATTAGTTCCTCCATCCCTCAAACCAATGCTTGGAATAATGAAACACCAGATAAGTTAATTCTATACTTTGCTTGTTACACTAAATTTGAATCATAGAGGTAATTTTGGGTGCATAAGAATTTGTCTTAAGTCTGCTTGTTAGAGATCTTCTGTAGATATCTTAGTTTTGTGCTGAATGAGATGAATAAGGACTGAAAGTGCTCACTTAGAGTTTTTTTTAGGAAATGCTGCATACAGTTGATCACGATGGTTGAGATGTGACTCTAGATGGAGAGGACTGGACACCATCTTTGAATGAGTTTACTAATTTGTTATTTATCCTCAATTGTAGTATAAGTGAATAAGTGTTTATATGGGACACAGCTTAGGAAAAGTAAATATAATATAATATAATATAATATAAAGAATTTCAATAAATAGCTTAATAAATAACTATATGCACTTTGTTTCCAACACTGCAATAATGCCCAAAAATCCCAAAGACATGCATCACAATAACTGCTTTGAATGGTGGGAGGTTTAAAACAGAATTAAGCATTAATCTGCTGTAAAAACAGCACTGAATTCAAGCTCTGAATACACTATTCTGGCAGACTTTCAATCAACCCACACTTTCAACTGCATTTCTACACAGATCTTAAAAAGAGAGAAATAATACATAAATACCAAAAAATCTTTTGATTGGAAAAAATCTGGTTGGAGGTGGATCCAATTCTGTTCTTTGGGATGTACATGGATATTAATTGGGCTGGTACCAGCTGGAAGGTTGTGAGAGGATTCGGTTGTTTAAGATGCACTATAATGGTTTTAGATAATTAGCGATCCAGAATCAGAGTCAGGTTATCCAGTGCCATACTGTAGAGCCAATCAAATGTGCTAACTGTAAGCTGGATATCTTGCTCTCACATACTGCTACTGAAGTCATAACCCAAGGCAGTATTGTAAAGGTAATGGATTACAGCTCTTCTCAGCTATTCTAAATAAGGCTGAAATTTTCATGAAGTATCGATTATTTCGATCTGAGCAGGGAAGGTGGTTAAGGCCACTGTAAAAGGTGACTTGGAATGTTCCTGTTATTATAGGCAGAAGAATATGAAGCACTAGTGGACAAGGCCACTCGTAAGGTGGGAATGGAAGCGGCCCAGATACTAGGAAGATGCAACAATCCATCCCCTGCCTACCAGTCCCCCCGGCTCAGCAAAAACTGTTATTGTTGTATACAGTAATTGTTAGGGTTGGACCAGGACTGAATATCTGTATTGAAATCAGTATCAGCAATACCTACCTTCAATCGAATGGAAATGGGATCAAAAAGAGAATAAGTTGCATTACCCATCTTGACAGTTTAGTTTCACACAAAGTAGGTTTGTACCATTGTAACATGTTTCTGTTTTCGGAGATGCCACCTTTTCTCTGCGGTTGATGCATCTTTTCATTGGTTGACTAAATGAGTGTGTATTTATTTATTAGAACTTGAAAGGGTGTGCATGCCGACTTGGTCAGCCCTGAAAGCCACTGCACCACTGGGAATTCTCCAGAGCCCCTGATGGCCACTCCACCCCTGCCTACGGTCTTTGCTTGCACCATGCAGTATGTTTTGTGTAAAAACCAGGTATTTGAGAAGACTGGAGAGTACTGCAGTTATTATTTCTTGTCATTTGTAAAAGTAGATTTACAACCATGTTATCTTATAATTTCACAAAAAAAATGTGCATCTTAATGCTTTCAGATTTTTTTGCACAGATCTTACTTAGGACTATTAAAAAAAAAACCTGTTCACTCATTTTTAAAGGAACTATGGATGCCATGCCCATGAAGTCACATAACTTCAAAGGAATCCTCTCATATCATCGTAACAAAGGATAATTATAGATAACAGATAAATATAAAGGATTAATTATACAAAGCATAAAATGTATAATGTTGTGGTCTGCTGTAATATTGCATAATACAATAAAAATGTATTAAAGTTAATGCCTAACATGTTCTTAGCTTCGAGTAAACATTACCTAAACACCTCAATTTGTAAAGAGATTACTGAATTGGGGAAAAGGGATTTTTAATTAGAAAAATGTATCCCTATAGCCAATATAACTGATACCCAGAACAGCATGTGGACAACACTCAAGTTCCCAGCTCTCAAGGTGTGAGGTGCCAGTGTCAACCACCAGCCAGCTCATCACCGTAAACCTGTGATCGTTTGCAAACATTTATCAGTAACACTTTACTTGAGGGGGCACAAATAACATAGTATTATGCTATTAACTAAAAACGAAGTCTTAGTTTCATACTGATCTCATGTTTGGTCATCATTAATGAATCATGATGTATCTTTTATCTCAAGCAGTTACTATACTGTACTTGTTACTATATCTGTTGATTTTCTAAGCCTATGTGAACTACTGAAGAAACTACTGAAGAAACAAATAATGAATAACACAAATGAAATACTGATCACATGTTTTTTCATCATTAATGAATCATCTTTTATCTCAAGTAGATACTATATTTCTTCATAATTTATATTTTAGAAACTGAGGTACTACTAACTATTGGTGCCCCTTCAAGTGAAGTGTTACCCATCTATCAGTGGGACATACCAGTCTGCCCACAGCTAAAAATGCAAGCAACATCTAATGTATAGGATGGCTGTCTCTTTTTGTGTGTTATTATTTCTTTTATTTATTACTTATGTAAACTGTTTTTCACTGTTTCTGTAATAGTGACAATAAAGATCTATCTTATCTTATCTTATATATAAAAATGATTTTGTAAAGTGGAATTAGGGAGCCGTTTAGGGTGGCCGAGACAGAGAGAGAGAGTGCTGTTTTTCACCCCAAAAGCTTTGCATAGAAATGTAAAATATTGACACAGAGACTCATAATATTAAAATCTGAAAATAATGAAACAGCCAGTTCAGAGAAAGAAACCTCACATATTTATTTTTTAGCTTATGGTTTTCAGTTTTTTTTTCTACAGAATTCTGCTGATGCTTTGAAAAGTAGGAGCACCATTACTGTCAAGTGGAAAAAGTTCATTTAGCTTCACAAAAGTGTCACAAGCATGAACTGCTTAGCTAGTATAAAAAGCTGTTTAATGTGAATCGACGGATGAGAACAATGGTTTTGATATTGTGAAATATTTTTACGTGGATTGCAGAACTCAAATTTATTAAATCTCATTTTTTTCACGCATGTGGCACAAATATTATTGGAATAAGAAGGTGCTTGTGACTTGCACTGGACAAGCTATTGCTAAGTCTCATATTGATAAAACTGAATAAAAAGGAAATCTGATATATTTTTAAGGCTTTTGAATTTTTGTGGAAGAACAGCAGTGCAGGTGAAATTTGAACGATGGAAAATTAAAAGAAAGTTACTGTGAATGAAATGTAAACAAAAATAATTTCTCATTTAAAACACATTAAAGGGAAGCAAAGCAAAGTACTTAGCTGCTTTTTCATGCCATTAAATTATGCATAACTGTATGGTTTTCGTTTCCTTATTCCTAGCAGAATGCATTTTTTTCTGCAATTGCTTCTATTTCATCAAACAGTAAAGAACATCTTTTCCTTCATTTCCTTAATTGGCCACGGGAATGTCACAAGTGTTGCACTGCACTGCATGACTGGCCTTCTTATGATCACTGTGCATAAAATAATTTGTATCAGCTCAGAAAATGCATTCCAATTATCACTGGGGGGTGTCGTCTTATGAGTATAAGCTAGTGCTCTGGTGTATTTTTATTACCCACAACCCAGAAGCACATTCCCAAATCAGGTTTCAAGCTAAACGATGTAAATTCAAACCATAACAATACTGCTATGTAATTTTTCATTTTTCATATTAAAAAGACATACAGATATTTTAAAAGAAGGCCATGCCCCTGAAAGAGCTCCGGAAGTTCGGTTGATTTAGTTTGAAGGCACAACATGCCTTTCTGCTCCACTTCGTCAGAGCACATTCACTTTGTTCTTCTTTCCATTGTGTTTCTGATTGAGATTTGTTCAATGATACACTAATTGGTTCTGGGTCAGGAAGACTCCCAGTGGCAGCTGTAGGCCCATAATATGTCAGAGTATGTCATTTTGTCTGCTCTTCTGATGGATACATTCAAGAAATGACTGGTGTTTTTATAAGAAACAGCGATCAGCGTGGCTAAGGTGTTCTCTACATCATAGCAGAGACTATAATAATGAGACATTTAAATTCTTTTTTTGTGTTGCTTTGTTTCTAAATCAGATACTGCTTTTTGTTGTGTAGTTTCTGGGCTAAGTTAACAGGATTGCCACTTTTTGCCTTTTTCTATTCATATGCAGAGAAATCATACTAGTCTATCTGCATTTTTCAGAGTTTCCACTGATCAGTCTTCCATAACTGCTTCTCCAGTACAGAGCTATTATGAGTGTGGAGCTTATATCAGGAACCACATTATTATTATTATTATTATTATTATTATTATTATTATTGTACATGAGTCCAGGGACACCGACAGGGGATAAGAGAGAGTGGGGTGCCTAGTGCATATACACACAAACAATTATTCTTTTAGTGTAATAAATTTTACAAATGATTCTCTGGTTCTTTTAAATAATATGCTAAAGATGCAAAACATTTCACTACTACTGATCATCTAATGACTTGAAGCTTTTCATTTATTTGGTTCAAGGCTGTTAGTTAATGGCTTTGGGGAGCAAAGACGGCAATTTGTTGCAACCAGAATGAGGAGAACGAGGAGGCTTATTGAGAGATTTCCAATAAACTTTCTCTCAGAGGATGTTGAAACCAATAAGACTGTAAGAAGGGAGTTGATATTATGTGCGTCTCTCCACAGCCACATGAGTTGGGATTGCCAGCCCCTAGAAATGCGTCTTTGCTGTGTGCCCAGCTCTGGCTCTCAGGAGAATGTGCCGAGAACATTCAGCTGTCTATAAAACAGTCCCTGAAGGCATCGTAAGGTTAGGGGAACCTGCTGACATTTCCCAATCATTTACAGATGCTAGTGCAACAGTTTGTTTACAAAATATATATTTTTTATCTATCCATCTTCTAACAACTCATCATGGTCAGGATGGGTAGGAATATATTAAACACTGTGGCATATTACAATATTAATAGCAAATGAATATAAAATTATTTCCATCAATCTTCCAACTTTTTTATTCTGTATAGGGCTGCAGTGAGCTTGGGGCCTATCTCGTGAAGCACAGGGAACAAGGCTGGAGAATTCTTGATGCCTTTATTACAGAAAGAAGTTTTTGTGCTAAAAATAACATTATGCACGTTCAGAGTTCAGATGAGGATATCATAGGTCAGCATAATACCTGTATCATGTGCAACTCTTTTCAAAATGATTTTGATTGGCTCTGATGCTTTATGCTTCTAAGTCTGTTTGTGTTTATGGATGGCAGAAGTCTAGGGCTAAGGTTAAGGTTTTATGTTAGTCCTAAGGTTTGGGTTGGCACTACATTTAAGGACTCATTTACATTAGGCATTATAGTTATGGGTAAAATCAAGGCCATGATAATGTAATGTAATGAACATTACATTTAGAGGTTAGGTTAGTGTAATCTTGTTGAATATGACTTATACATTCAGGTATATACATTCCTTATTATGTGACTTACATATGCAGGCAAATAACTTTTGTTCTGGTTAAGGAGCTGTGTGGGTGTAATTTCTTTTGCCCATTTATTATAAATGATTTACTGGGTATCCCACGCAGAAAAATAGCTGCACCAACAGTTAGGCTTAAGTTTGACATCAGAGTTAAAGCTAAGATTTCATAATGGCTAGGGTTAGGGTTTGTATTTGGATTTGTTTGGATTAGGGGTATGGTTAGGGTTCGGGGTGTCATTAAGAAATGTAAAAAAAATAAAAATTATAAAAACAAAAAAAGTCTATATTGCAATACTATCCATTTATACATTTTGACAATCAACAGCAGGGTTCCTGCGAAGGAAGCCTCAGCCCAGAGCTTTGTTTTGTTTCATTCCCCAATATTTTTCCTTTGCTTTGTTGCTGTGACTAAGCTCAGGATGAGGAAACAATCCATAAGATCTGAGAATTGGAGGATGAATTTCATCAGATGATTTTATTAGCAACCTTGGGATACAAATGGCCAAACTTACTGAGCAGCATAGTAAAATAACTAAACTTAAAATAAACAGACTTTTACACAAAAGTAGAAACATTTCTCCATCTCTCTCGCTCTCTTTCACCCGCACTCTCTCTCATACTGTCTCACCCCTCACTCTCTCTCTCTCTCTGACAGAGAGTGACTTTGCTTAGTACAATTAACACTCTATTACAGCAATAAAGGTGGTCACCCCACCCTGAATCATCCACTCCTCACAATGTCTTTTGTTTAAATTTGGATTAATATAGATTGATTATTTTAACAAAACAGTTTTTTCAAAGACTACATTCAGTGTTGATGCTTAATGAGTCATGTTATTAAAATTTATATTCTGTAGCACAACAAATGTATGAAATATTGAACATTTTTAATAACAAATCTCTCTTCCACTTAAACATTTTGTGTGCTAGTTTGAAGTCATTAGTCTTCTAATCCTTATTCCATTTTTTATCTTTTCTATGTCATCATTTCTCTGACTTATTACAGTTTTTCTTCGTTCCTTATAAAGTTTGTCCAGTTCATATATAATATGACCTCAGCTGCTTAGGCTCTCTCACAAAAAACTCAAATTGACCTAGTCTTGCGACTGAAAACACACTTGATGCAAATCTGTCTCTAAACCAACCAAAATATGCTATAGCACAGAAAAGGGTGATCAGTGCCGTAGTTCCATTTTTAATGCAAATTGGAACAAGAAAACAACACAGGATCGTGAAAATGGAGTCTAGTGCTGT